GAAATCAATAAGATTATAACACAGACTGTGGATTATAAAGTTATGTTTACCAAGGAGCACTGGCCCTTTCCCCCTCTTTTTAAGGGACAAAACAAAAATTTTGTTACCATTGCAAAACAATAGTAAATGTCTTAATAATTGAAAACGCCTTTTTTATGAAGACACAAAACTGAAAAAAAAACAGATATTGGGCAGTCATCCAACGCCAAAAATTGAATCAATTTTTAATCATAAGAGGCAGGGTTAGCAATATTCGATTGCTCTGGTTTAAGTTCCAGATATACATATATACATTAAAGTTTTAAAAAACAAATTTATGCTTTTTCTTTTTTTTTTGTTTTTAGGTTATTTTTTTTATTATAATGGTTTAGTAGGGCTATCGGCCTCGCCCTCCTATACACCCACGAGCCGCCACTGGCAGCACGAACGTTCAATTTTAATCTACATCTACATGTTTATGCCTTTTTGGTTTGTGTTTAATTGTGGGGTTAAATGGGACAGTTTTTTATTACACTTTAATTTAATTGGGAGGTTTGATCTGTTTGACAGTTGTAAGATAATCAGGTAGTTGCCTACTACCATACAATCTAACTTAGATTGTATGGTAGAAGGCAACTACCTGATTGGTCCAAATAATTTCATCATCTAAACCGGTGATAAAAAGAATTTTTTGTAACATCTTACGTAAATCCACATAAAAATAAATATTATAGAACGACCATAAGAGTAAAAAAAAATTGACTAAAGTCTTGCGTATTTTTAACTTACAGAAGTTAACTATGTGTAGACATAAATTGAATTAAAAACATCTTGTCAATTGACGGCGGACTGACTGTATAAAAGCTCTGGTTCTCGCATGCAAATTTGCAAATTGGATTTTTGGTCGTTTTTTTGCTGTTGGGTTGGCATTCAGCAAACTCAGGAAGTGATACCTGTTCGCATCCTGTTTGGCGTTCGGCGTAGAGATGTTTTTCTAAATGGTCTCTGGCGATAGCCTTTTATAACTTTACTGCGTATTTTCTCAGCCAGGGAGGAAGTAAACAAGAGCAAAGTTTATCTCCGTTATAATGTTGTAAGCGAACCATTGTTCGGGGTACGCGTTCACATTCCTTAATTTATGCGTGATTAAGAAAATTTTTATAAAAATTTAGAAGCATAGAAAATCGTTTTAATTACATTAAAAAATTTCAACGATTTTTTAATTAACGGATTTTCCGATCATATATTTCAGTTACAAAGAGTTTAGTCCAATTTAAATAATAATTAATTAAACTTAATATAAAAATAGGTAGACTTTGTCTAAAACATTTTTTCATATTTGCAATAGATGGCGCTGTAATGAAAAAAATCAATTTTTTTCGATTTTTCTTCTGTATACGATTCCAATAATTATCTTATTAAATTAAATCTGATTTTTTTAAGTACCCAAGATTTTTTAACTAATATTAAAGTTTTCTTTGGTTGAAGTGTTATACATTATTTCATTCGGTGATAATTATCAATTGCGCACCATGGTCACTTTTTACCTGCCAGCATTAAATCCTTTAATTTAAAGGTTTATTGTACTATTTTTAATAAAAATACCTCATTTAAGGTAAAAAAAAAATTATTTAGTTATAAATAATAATTATTATTGAGGTATAAAGAAACTATTTATAGTTCAGCATTATTTAGTTCGAAGATTAATTTGCAAACAAAAAGACCTCCTTTCGTTAAGCAGTTATTCATAATGGATTTTTTAACAGTGGAAGAAAAAATAGAATGGTTTTGATTTATGGAGAAGCAGGCAGGAATCTTGATGATGCTGTTAATATCTACGCTCAGCGTTTTCCGGATAAAATTCGATCACGTACTTCATTTCACCGTACAGCCAAGCGGTTTACTACAAACGGGAGTGTTCAACCGAAAAAAAGAGTTCGTCGAGCAACAGTCACAGGTGGAAATAATGAAATTAATGTATTAGCAGCAACGGCCGCTAATCCTCATGCAAGCACACGACAATTATCTAGAGATTTGGGAATATCCCAGAGCAGTGTTAGCAGAATATTAAAACGAAATAAATAGTAAATTTAAAAAATAAAACCAAGTATTGTATTCAAAAATTATTGGAGAATCTTATACAGAAGAAAAATCCCTGTATATAACAGCATTTTATTCAAACAATTTAAAATTGATTTACAGTAAGTGTCGTAACAATTTTTAATGTTGAGCGAGTCTATAGTTATAACTGAACTTGAAAACAAAAGATTTTTAACCGTTTCTTCTCTCAATTGCTCGCATACAGTATGCATATGGCGTTTGTTGATAAAAAAAAATTATTTTGATCGCGTAAAAAGAATTTAAATCTCACATGGATTTGTGTTAGCATCTAACATATGTTGGGAATCGTAATCCGTAATTTATTATGGTTAACGTAATCCTAGTTGATAGTAAAAAATGTAATGTAAATCATAAATAATTATATTATTATACATTAATGCCTTGGGTATGAATCATATAAAAAAAATTTAAAATTACTAAAATAACTATTTATACTAAATTATGTGTAAAGAAGCATAAAATAAAATAGACCATTGTAATTAAATTAATTTCAATCAGTTTAGAGTTTTCTTTATCCTCGATAATTAATTTCTTGAGTCTTAATTTACATAATTAAAATGAACTTTTCCAATGCAGGAAAAAAAGAAAGAAAAAAACAAAACAATCCTTAATTGATTAATCTGGCGCGGCTTTCTTCGATTGTATTGTAATTTAAAACTGGGGAATAAAAAGCATTGTTTTATTTTTCACTTATTTTGCAATTTATTTATACATTAACTCTAGATTGGATGAAAAAAATTGTCATTAAAGGTTTTTAACGAGATAAAAAAATATTACTGCCCACGCCTTTGTTGCGTAAATATAAATATTATAAAGGGTGTTTCACAATCGTGGTCCATTAGACGTTTCTGGGGAACGGTAAAAGATATTTTAAACAAAATGCAACTTATTTCAAATAGACACCCCAAATATTTTTTACATAAATTAGTACTAAAAATTGTTCATTCAAATATTGTTGGTTTATTAATTTGTTACACTCAAAAATAATGAAACTTATATTATAATATTATTTAACTTAAATTTAAAATTGTAATGGCTGTAAAAAAATGTACCACCTATAGGTACCTTATTTTTTATTAAATTTTCAGTGCCTTATTGGGACAAAAACCTAAGATTTGTCAAAGTAATGAGATTATTTTTATTTACAGAATAAACTTTTTTTACTGTTAATAAAATTCTCATTTACTATAATGAAGCAGCAATGTTGAGCTTTTATAAAAAAAAAATGTTCATCCAACAAAGTAATAGTTGTTATCATATTGTCATGGTAATAAGAAATACTTTATGTTTATACTAAATCTTTGTCATACTTAAAATGGTTTTGTTAAATCTATTTTTGTTAAATCTATAATTGTGCGCTAACATAAAGTAATGCGCAGTTGTTATAGTAAAATTTCTTCATTTTATTATGTCATATTTGTCTTTTTTAAATTACTATCGTTGTAATTCAAAATAATTTTATTACAGTTAGAAAATCTTTGTTAATAGCTTACGTTAAGAACAATAACAAAAATATTTTATTGCTATAAGAAGACTTTTTTAATATTTACTATTGTTTTGCAATGGTATCAAAATTGTTGTTATTTCCATTAAAAAGAGGGGGAAAGGGCCAGCGCTCTCCTTGGTGAACATAACTTTATAATCCAAAGTCTGTGTTATAATCTTGATTAATTTCAATTGTGCGAGTGAAGTGTGGTAAAATTTAGCATGATAAAAATATGAAAAAGATCACAAAGAAAATTAAAATTTCGACTTTTTCTAAAAGAAACATTTAAGGTCTATTCTATAAACGAAGCATACTTGTTGTTTAAAAAGTGAGTTCATATTTTTATATTTTCTACATCATATAATATGAGTTAATTTTTTTGTTATAATAAATAATTTGTTTTAATGCCTTGCAATTATTTAAAAAAAACTACCCAATACCCAACAGTAGGTTGAAAATGTGACCATTGTTACAATGAAAATAGTTTATTGAATTAACAATTAATTTGTTGTTAAATTTACATAATTTTTATTAATATTATAAAAAAAGTTTTATTGTAAACAAAAAGGAATTTGTAAATTTTATAAAATTTTTATAAATAATACCATTAGGGTTTCATTAATACTATAGTATTAATATAGTATATATAGTATCGATTTTGTAAACGGTATAGAACTGTTTTTTTGGACAAATAATAACTATATTTATCTATGCCTTTCTGCATAGCAATTGTTGGACGAATAGGGATCTTTACTTTTTTAAGACAAACTACTTTTTTTGTTATATTTATTTAAAAAATTGTACAGTGTACAAGTGTAAGTGTACAGTTACGCATTATTTGTGTTAATAAAATATTTATTTCATCAAATAAATTTTATATATTCTCCAATAAGCTAGCGCCTTTAAACAACGTTTTAAAATTCCAAAAATTCCCCCATCATATCCGCAAAACCTAATTACAAAAAAGTTATAGGCTATTTATGATTGACGCGTATTTGTCAAATTTTAGCGATAAAAAATGAATAACTCGAAACAATTTACTTTCGGTATATGTCATGGTAAACGCTATTAAAATTTTAAATCGATAACTTTTTTCGTTCCGTTCTACAAAATGAAAATTAGTGGTTTTTATTTAATAAGAATTCTTATAAAATTTAATATTTTTGGTTAAATTTCATATATATTTTTTCATATCTCATTTATAATAAATTTTGTATAAGTTTGTTCTACAAAATCAAATTTACCATACATTTTCAAACATAAACATGCAAAGTAAATATTTTCAAAATATCGCAATAAGCTCTTTTAATGTGTTGACATGGGTTATTTTAAGACCCCTTTTCCCTGAAAAGCGTCTGTTTCCGGTGTTAAAAAAATACGTTGCACATGCGTTACTTAAACTTTAACCGCTCACCTTCTCGTGCACAATCAAAAATAATTTTTTACTAATCCGAATCCATCACCAACACATCACTTAAAGTCTCTTTCACAACAATAACACCGACCAAGAAACATCTAGCGAGCTGAGCCTGATCGCGTGCACATGGCCAACTCTGTTTATTTATTGTTACGTTCTCTCGGCTGTAGAGACGCAGTTGCCTCTGATGGTGCCAAGAGGAAGACTACGCTGACTGCCTTGCGGTCGCATCAGAGCCCGCTGCAGGCTTAAGACCCTTAAGTGTTTTAGTTTCCCATTCATTGCTCGATGGGAGGAACCTGCATGTAATAAGATCGAGGGATGGTGCTTTTACAGGTGTACCGGGGGTGATAAAAAAGTTGTTTATTTGTATTTTTGGATATACGGGGTGCCCCTGCAATATTTAATTATCTCACTATGATTTTCTTTGATTATTGACGTTTTAGGGTATACTTCGAGTTCTAATTGATTTAATTTAATCAAAGGTACTTGAGCCCTCTACAACTTTCTCTTGTATAGTTTTGGTATCGGCTCAGTAGTTCGATACTGGCGATTTTATGAAGTTGAAAAAGTCCTTTTCGAGGTCGAAAATTTACATATCTTTCCGGGAAAGATAGAAATGACAAAGATAAGTCCAGTTTGATTTATTTTACGTATAGATTATACTTAAAGGAAAAAAATAAGCTGCTGTTGATAAAAATCCATGGATAAATGGCGAAGTTATGAATTTTTCAGTGGAAGAGCAAAATTCAGTTTTTTGAGAATTTTTACGTTTTTTCTTCATTTTATTGAATTATATAAAATTTTATAATAAAACAAAATTATATATTGAATATTGAACAATAAATATTGAACATTGAAGATATTGAAAGTTTTATTTTATTTTAATAAGCATAGGTTTAAAAAAATTCTGGCTCCTTCTTTGTTTTTTGTTGCCTTTATATTCCGTTTCTCGTATGAGGGACCAAATGTAATCACCCATCATGGCTGCATCTCAGAAGCCGTGATACCGCCGCTCCATAGCCTTCATTTGCTGTTGAAAAAGTTCTCCGTGCTCATAACTTACGTCGTCCAGATTGTGCGGGTTATTTACGCACTTGAACTCTCTACTTCTTTTACTCATTTTACACGTTTTATTAACTAAATAAAACCATGATAAGAATACATTGTTGAAATATACAAAAAATAGCAGTGAAATGTCACTATGCCAACACGAGAAACAAACGTAAAAAACTCTTTACTTTTTACTTAGGTTTTCATTAAAGAATTAACATGTTACAAAATAAAAGAACAAAATAAAATAAAAATCGTCAAAAAGCTGAATTTTGGTCTTCGCTATTTTTCCATGTATTTTTATCAACATTAGCTTGTTCTTTTGTAAAAATGTCAGCTTCACGAAAGAAAAATCAAACTGGAGTTATCTGTTCGATTTAAACCCTTCCCAGGACGATATGTAAATTTTCGACCTCAATTTTTGCCATAAAACCGATTTTTTTAAGCTATTAAAATCCAAAATACTTATACGATATCGAAAGTATTTAAAAGAAAGTTTTAAAGGGCTCAAATACCTTCAATTTAAGGGCTTGTTTGACCAAATCAATCAATTAGATTTTAAGCTATACTCAAAAACGTCAAAACAACTTCAAAAATTGAAAAAAAAACAATTGAAAATTCATATTTTAAAAACGCTTCCAAAAAAAATTTAGTTTGAACTAGTGTTATTAATAGTTGACAAAATATAAACGATCGTTTCTTGGAGAATCGTTGGGTATAATTTTCACCACAAAAAATTTAGCAAAGGGGATAATATCTCCGGGATATAACAGCACTTATTTAATTTTAGTCGAATTTTAAATTAAAAGCAATTTTACGTTTATGAAGACTGAAGACTAGGGGTGTGCGAATAGCGTTCGAATCGAATCGAATCGAATAGTACTATTCGATTCGAAATTCGAATCGAATAATTCGAATTTACGAATTATTCGAAAAATTCGAATTATTCGAAAATTTTCGAATAATTCGAAAATTTTTCGAATAATTCAAAAATTTACGAATGATCCGTGAATGGATGAATAATTTAAAAATTTTCGAACCCATCGTCAATTTTTTTGATATTTTTCGAATTTTGAGATGTTCAAAGTTTGAACATCTCAAAATTCGAAAAATATCAAAAAAATTGACGATGGGTTCGAAAATTTTTAAATTATTCATCCATTCACGGATCATTCGTAAATTTTTGAATTATTCGAAAAAATTTCGAATTATTCGAAAATTTTCGAATAATTCGTGGATTTTTCGAATGATTCGAAACTTTCGAATAATTCGCTAATTCGAATTATTCGATTCGAATTTCGAATCGAATAATAATATTCGATTCGATACGAATTATTCGTAAATTCGAATTATTCGCACACCCCTACTGAAGACCCGTTGAGTGTTATGTCAAAATGTTTCCTAAACCATGCACTTTTTAATGACATTTTCTGTTCTTGCGGAAATTTGCCGATTTAAGGTAAAGCGGGACGTTAAAGATAAAACTGTTTTTGGTGGATTTTCAACTTTCAAGAATATTTTATGGCTATGAAAACAAAATAATACAGGTTGGATATTATTTTAAATCATTAATTTGTTTACATGCAATATAAAAAAACAAGAAGGTAATTATTGTTCCATGGAAAATTGCAAAATTAATTTATTTTCAAATAGGTAAAATATTAAATATACCCCTGTAAAGGGTTGTTGAAAATAAAAAGTTATGGAAAAGTTTGATCCCGAATATTTGTCAGGAAAAATATGCAACGTTGACGTCACAAAAAACGATATAAGAGAGAGGGGATCATATTCGCTTGTGTGTTTTTGGCGTAAAGAATAGGTGACTGTGCATAAGTAGGAGAGACATGGAAATACGACGCGTAACTATAGTTTTAATGACAGTTTTTATAATTTCTCAGGGTATTTTAAAATTTACTACATTTTATTACTAAATTCCAAATAATACGATTTTAAAAAATTGCTCAAAAGTATGAAATTGAAAATGTTTTACTTTTATTTAATATTTTCAACAATTTTTATACATTATTTTTTTACTTAATGTCTTGTGTTAGATCTTATAAGTTAAGTTTTGTTATATCATTATTGGAATATCCACTGAGCCAGATGTCTTAATACAAAACAAAAACAAAACAACTGCAATGAGCGAACTTTTCTTTGTTTTCATTACAGTTAACATAAGGCAGAAGAATAATTTCCAACAAACAAAATTACTTTTATTATTATTATTATTAAAAAACGATACCTTTACAGGATGCGATATGTTTTTCAATAAATTTGATGAAGGTAGTACCTAGGTACGTACCGCAATATTGAGAGTACTTATTCAAAAACAACGATACTGTAGCGTCGATTTTTTTTTGTAAAAAAAATCGATTGGTTCGGTCACGCTACCTCACTTAAAAAGTAATTTTTCTCGGGCTATCGAAGGTCGAAATCATCAGTTACAAGCCAATGCATCTGTCAGACAGATTCGATTTTTAGCTCGTCTTTCAGTGTGCGGTCGCACAGTGATCCAGACTTTATTTCTTTACTGAGAGAAATATTCTAATTAAATAATAATAATGAACATATCAGCTAATAAAGTATTAATTACAAAGTTTTAGAAAGATTGACCGTCTGGTTTACGAGTAAAGAATTATTAAAGTGTTGGTGTTACCCCGTGATATTTAATAAAACTAAATGAGTTTGACCTACACTTTTTGTGTTTTGATCTTTCATAATTAAGCTCAGGTTCCGCAATTAATTATTTTTTAGAATGTTTTAAAAGTCTAAAATCTATCCTCCGTGACTGTTACTTTTTCTAGGTTAACCTATATGTTTTCACATATCTGAGGTAGTAAAAGCATAATAAAAATATCAGTTCACTAAGTAAATCAAATATTAAATATTATTAAAAATTAAAAGAAATAATTTTTATAACCATTTATGTAGGTGTTACAAAAATTGATTCTATCCTCCGTGAATCTGTTTATGGTTTAAATTTTATGCAACGGATGGCGCTTTATTCATTTTAAATAAGCAAAAACCTCTGTTTACGACATTATAGATGCATGTGATTCCTGAAGGTAAGTTAGAATTCATATGCAGATGAGATTGTTGCTGTTTTATAATTTAAAAGTTTAACTTCATTAATTTGCTATTTAAAATCCTATCCACCGTGAAGTGTAATATCTCAGTAAGTAGATTTTTTTATAAATATTTTATGTATGTACAATTGTAAGATTGTAAAAAATATTATGGTGTCAAAAGATACAATAACTTATTTCAAATATACAAAGGGATGTTTAAAAAAAACATAGGAAATCCTAACCTCCGTGAAGCTATCTAATATTCAAAATGTAAGATTTCTTAAAATTCTTGCATAAGTGCAGAACCACTTATGTCATGTTATTACTAGACCTGGTGGCTTCCCAAAAACCCCATTCTAGACTAACAGTGAAACAACCAAAAATAAAAAATAATCATTTTCACTTGGGGAAATCTCAATATATTCACCCATATGTCTTTCGAGTCCAAACAAAATTATCAATCTGTCATTTTCGTCTAGGAGATACGACAACATTGGATTAGGAACACGTGATTATCTAGGGGTATTTAGTTTGATTAATTTGGTGACTACCATAATTTTTATTTTTAGTAAATTATTAGAAAAAAAACACAATTGTTTTGTTATTTATTATAAGTTAATATTTTTTTTTGTAGTCAACTTCATTCGTTTCACAAAACACAATATTTCATTTTGAGATTTTAAATAGCACTGCATAAAGAAATGTCACTGCAACTGTCGAAAGCTTAAATTGTCAAATGGGGAGCTAATATTTATTTCTTACATTAAATTTTAATTTTATGCAGATTATTTTTTAAATTGAATCACTGTAAGCCGAACTAATCACTGCCTTTTCAGCGGAATTCGAAAAAACACGTAATGAACGGTTGGCGTTTAGCTTAGAACCAAATTTGCATTTTGCAAAAATCCATCATTGCTGTGATTAAAACGACTCACATGATTACGTTGATCACTGTAAATACAGTGTAAGTACAATACGCAAAAACGACTTATTTCGATATTGATCTTGGCGCGGAATTATTGAAAATTTAACGTTTTTGAATAATTTATTTTCTACATGGAAATTTTATTACCAACGTTAAATTTTGATGATCCCAAGATTTTATCGATGCGTATTTTAA